AAATTACAAACTCTAAGCTATACAATCGTAATTTTAAACAAAATTTGACTAACTAATCGATTAATCGATTTTGAATGTCAAAGATGCAAAGATCCTTTGGTGTTAATAAACAACAAACTTTAGATTATAACTAAAATACCCTCTGCAGGCGCATAAAGATGTGAAAACACAAAAGCAACAGTAACAACAAATGCCAAAGCAATCAACAAAATTGCAAAGTGCATTTTGCAGTGGCAACGTTTGGCACTCAGATTTTAAAGGCGGCGAAGGGGGTTGTTTCAGGGGGTTTTGGGGGGTTTTTGAGGGGCCTTTGGGGGTGGCAAGTGGGGGGAGGGGTTGGGAGAGGGGGGTTGTCGCTGGTGACAGTGACGTGCTCGGCCCGGTTCGGTTCGGTTCAGTTCGTTTGCTGGCTGGCAATGGACAAATGAACGCCCCTGACATCGTTAGTTGTTGTTGCCCGTGTTGTGTTGCTGCTGCAATTGTTCGTCGTTGTTGTTGTTGTTGTTGTCGTTGTAATTGTTGTTAGACGCTTAGCTGGCCGGGGCACGCAGAAATCCTGATTTGGTTATAACAACGCACATTTGAAAAGCGAAAAATGAAAAAATAGAAGAAAAAAAGCGGCAACTACAGCAGCATGATTTGAAATTCAAATTGGCAATCCAAATCTAAAGCCGAAAGGCAGCCAAGAAATGCGTGCACTGAGCTATAGCCATGAGCAGTGTCTAAAATGATACATACTCGCATTCGTAGAATAGAAAATGTCAGCCGGAGTAATCAAATAAATAATCTGGCTAAGTGCTGCCAGGGATGGCGACGAGTGACTTTAACCGAAAGTGAAACTGCGAAAAAAACTAAAGCTGTAATTCCAATTGCAATTGCAACTGCAACAGAAAGTGAAACGTGTGATTTCTTTGGGCTGGGAAATTGCAAAGCGAGGGAAATGTTAATGTATTATTTGTAAGCAACATTCATATTTAAAAAATGCATGTTCAAATTTAATTTGAAACTTCGAAATCTCAAAACTTTAATGGCATCTAGACCAACAAATATTTATCCATGAAATTGTTGTATAAAAAGTCACGGAAATAAAGACGAAATTTTACTAGTCTTAACAATATTAAAATAAAATATTAGAAAATTTTTTTCCCCTGATAATCCAAACAATAGTATCAGCATAAAATGCATTTATTTTTATCATCAATTAAAATAAAATATAAAGAAAGAAAATATATTTAAAGACCCAACCAAATTTTGAAAAATGAATACCCAGCGATAATCATTTATTTTGATCCTGACATCAAAACTAACAATTATTCTCTAATTGTGGCCAACAATTGAAACACAAATAGACATGCGAGCCGAACACTTGCAAATGAATTGCTGAAATTATCACCAATCAAATGTACAAAAAAAATCGGTGGCTACCAATCATGCTGTCAATTGAATAGATCCCAGCCAGCGATTTTCCCACAACACCCAGCCCTCGAACTCGAGTGAGCGGACTAACGCAGAAACTAACGCACTTTTCATAACTATTGAAAAAAAAGAACAAAAAGTGCGGCTTGGTCGTGTGGAACCCCTTGACATTAATAGCGAGTCGCAAAGTCTGAAGTCGAAGAGAGGCCCAAGAGATGGCTGCAGGGGATTTGGATGGGGTTCGGTGGGCATTTTCGGGGGGCAAGTGGCAGGGGGCGCCTGTGGCCGCCGCAAAAGAACCTTGGACTAACGCTGAACTCGCTGCAAAGTGAACAATCTTAGCCGTCTACGACGCGTCGGTAGCGTTGACGACCGCTCGCAATGTCAACGGCTCGAGCAGCATTTCAATGACTGCCACTGCCTGCTGCCTGGGTTGCGGATCCGAGTTCCAATCCGAGTCAGAATATCTGATTCTGATTCTCAAACCGAATCAGAATCCGAGTTCGAGTCGGTGGTGGTGTATCCTTGAAATCGAGAGTTCAATGCTTGGGCCGTGCGGCGCTTGAACCCAGCCGTGGCATCCACAAAAAAGGCAGCGACAGGACCTTCTCGTCCTTCTGTTCCTCAAAATAAATTTGTGAATTACTTGACGAAAATAAGGCATTTTGTGCTCACATTTCACATATATTATTTGATACTATTATTATATTGTAAAAATATTATTAATAGGTCACAAATTTCTATCTTAAAATATAAGAAACTAACGATAAAATTTGTTGTGATTTCTGGTCTCTTGAAAATTCTCTTCAACCTCAAAAGTATGCAATGAAATTTGGTGAATTGGAAATCCTTTAGAAGTAAAATGTGAAGTAAACCAGACTTGTGTTGCAATTTTTAGTTTGAATTTATTCCCTGCTTACCACATTTGAAAATTGAATTCAAATAGTAATACGAAAAAATTACAAAATATTGTCTAATAATATAAAATAATTTTTAAAAAATATAGCAAATAATTTACCTAAAAAATATTGTTCATTGCTGTTTTATTTCAATCCCTATATATATCCTTGTGGCACTCCTAGCTTTAAATATTTCTCGCCGTGCACTTAAAAAGTGGGTGGCCGTGGGGCGCAGCACCCAAAATGATAGCGCCTCGTTTTTCGGCCTGAACTTCAACCAAATTGTTCAAGTTCAAGGTTGCCGGAAAGCCCGATTCGAACCCAAAAACCCAGAGCCCACACCCAACCAGTCGGCTCTTTGTCTGCCGCACGCACACACCCGCCCTCTCACACGCACACGCACACGCACAGCAAAATGGCCGACGAACGGTGAAGGAGTGTGGGCAGCCATTTTGTCTGCGTCCCAAAAACACCAATACAGGCGCAGACTTAGGCAGACGGCAGCCTAAATACATACGCATATACAGCAGCGAACATTTCCTACAAACGACCCAACCGCCACCCACACTAACACAGACGGAGCGAGGCAAATATCCTTTTGACCTTGAGCGCACAATTTCCACACGCAAAATTTATTGACCCGACTGTCTGACTTGGCTTCGCCCCATTCGGAAACTTTTGAAAACAAAAACGAGCAGCGAAAAAAGGAGAAAGGCAAGGCCCGACTCCTCGCTGGGTTCTGTCTGGGTTTTGTTTTTTCTTCTCTTATTTTCCTTTTGGTTTTCCTTTTTTTTTTTGCCAAGAAAAGGAAGTAGGTACCCGCAGAAAAGGGCGGAGGCGCCCAAGGACTGTGGGTGGTTTTTCAGTGCGGTTGTGTGTGTGTGTGTGTTTGGCATTCAGACGCTTCCCAGAACCGGGGGCTCCGTCTGCCTTTCGTGTCAATAGACGGTTATTTGTCTGCCTCCTAGAAATCCCCAGCCCCTAGCCTGTGAAATCCCTACCTCTCAGCGGGCGGCATCCCGCCCCTACACACATACTTTTTAGGCAGTACCACCGACGAGACAACAACCCGAGGAGCGTCGACATTTATATTTCAGTCTGAGACTTTGAGTGGTTGAGTGGCTCGGTGGCTTGGTGGCTCGGTGGCTCGGTCGTTAGGCGGTTGACTGTCCTGAGGGGGCCGCGTTGGGCGGTGCTTGGCGGGGAGGACATCCTGTCGGGATTTAATAAACAAGTTACTGGCCTTTTTATTTATTTCTGGCAGTTGTTTGGCTGACAGTTTCGCCGCCGAAAGTAGGGGTTTTAATACAAATTATTCGGCGGCCAGATGGGAAATTCAATTAGTAAAATTCATATTTTCATAATTAGAATTTTCAAAGATTAAAACATCGTTCTTAAATCCTTTAAAACTTTTTTAAATAATCGTATTTTTTGTAGACTATTTAAGTTTTCTTTCCTTCTGCAATGCAAGTTGTGTCCTATTAGTCTACTGTATATGTTTCTTCCAAAATTCAAATTTTTTTAATTTGTTCATTTTTGTATTTAAGGTTTTCAGAAATATTTAAAAACAAATAAAATGTAGATATTTTTGAAAATTCAGCTCTTTGTGATAAGGTTTCCAAGCTTTTTAGCCAATACACAATGCCTCCAAAACTTTGAATGACTTGGCTTTAAGCTTTTATCAATATTTCTAAAACTGTAAAATAAAGAGATGTCAATCTAGCATTTTAATAGATTTTAATAGATAAAATAGTCATGTAAGTAAGAGGATGTATTCCTTTACATAAAACATAAAATTTAAAAGCAAAATTAACCGTTGAAATAACGCTAAATCACGGAAAATATGTTTCGGCTAAGATGTAAGACTACATTTAATTTGAGAAGCATTCGAAAACAACAACAAACATTTGTATTACATTTTAAATCTATTAATTACCGAGTAATTTACTTTACAAATGTATTACTTTTTAGCTATTTTATTATTACTTGTCGAATTTTCAGAATTAATGTAAGATTTTGTAAGCTACCTGTAAAATACATATTGTCTCTCTCTAGATGGCGCCACTAAGCAGAGCACAAGTAAGTATAAAATCCATGTAAAATGATGTAGATGTCGAGTGTAAAAAGTGAAGGTAAAGAGAGTAGAGAGAGAGACCAGACCACAAAAAAATTAGATGCCATCTTTACGAAAGAGGAACAATAGATGGCGCTCTAATTAAACAATTTGAAAAATGTTGAAACTTTTTAGCTTTATGGAAAAGCGAAAAAAGCAAAATAAAAAATATTATTTAAATTAAAAAAAAACGTATGTTTGGCCCAATTTTCAAGAGTCGAATTGAAATTCTTCTAGGCCGTACTGATTCTTCTAGATCCTAGCCTATACTGTTTCCCCACTAAGAAAGTAAGGACTTTAAAACCCTCTACAAGTAGAATACATTTACGCAAAATTAAGCTAGGTAGGCCCAATTGAGTGAATTTCCAAAAAATTCCCCCTTTTAAGCTATTTTCAATGTGCTTAACCAGAATATCCTCTTAAATTTTAATAAAATAATAAATATACGATTTTCTAGGTTTTTATGAATTTTAGTTTTAGAAAATGATCAATTTAAACTTTTTAGAAATATATGATCCCCTTTACTTTCTGTTATTTGGATTTTAAAAAAGAAAATAAAACGTTTGACTCACCGCTGAGTTTGTCCAGTCGTTTCTCGATGTTCAGGCACTTGGACATGAGCTTCTCGACGAGCAGGGGATTGGCGGCGGCGCTGGTGACGAATCGCGGCTCCTCCGCCAGCGGCTGTCCGCCCATGAGGGCGTACTCCAGCTTGGTGGCACAGTCGCCGGCTACTCCGCCGCCGGAACCAGCTCCTCCTCCTCCACCCCCTCCTCCGCCACCGTGGTTGCTATTGTTGTTGTTGCTGTTGTTATTGTTGATCAAATCACCACAGAGAGCGGCAGCTGCAGCGGCAATGGCCGCCGAATTGGAGGAGCCGAAGGCCAGGAGCGCCTGCTGACCACCGGCATCGCCGGAATCACCGGCCAGACTGGCGGCCACCGAATCGACCAATCCCTGGGCACTCAGCTGGGCATTCTCTTTGGCTAACAGATCATCGTTGGCCACCACGGCGGCGGCCACGCTGGCAAAGTCATCGTCGGTGATGACATTGTTGTTGTTCTCCTCCTGGGAAACATTTGATTGCGGCGGGAGGAGCAGGAGTTGTTACAGCGGAGAGGGAGAGAGACGAGAGTAGAAAACAGAGAGGGAAGACAAAACAATGATGAAAAATCCATATATGTAGGAAGGATGTTTTAAAGCAATCAATATGGGTATATGCATTTATGTATATGTGCTTAAACTTCTCTGTTCTGTTCTTGGCGGATGTACATTTTCGACTTTCACCTCGACGGTGGCCAAATCGGACAGCAGGCTCTCGATCTCGAAGTTGCTCTCGGAGAAGCTGCGGAAGAGCTCGTCGGAGGAGTCGCCGGAGCAGAGCGGTTCCACCACCACGTTCACGTTGCGGGCCGCCGCTCCATTCAGTTCGTTTCCGGCGGATCCCACGGATCCAACGCTTTCGACGGTCTGCTGCGGATTGTTCGGATTGCCAGCGGATTGAATCGAGGGGTTCAGATTTTCCGTTCCAGTCACCGTAGAATCATCCTGCAAATGGAGTAGTAAGTAAATAAATGATAAATGGAGGAAATGGATTTGAGGATTTCATTACATCGATGTTTAATAATATTTTTTAAAGATATTTTAAAGCCAATCTTTGTATATTTTTTTTGTCAAACTTCGATTGTAAAATATCATTTTATCATCATTTATTTATTGAACAATGAAGGCGAAAACGTAATTTACAGGGAGAAATAATGCACATTTCAGCGACTTTTGGCTGGAATATACAAGTTTACATAATAACTAGTGTTTACATGTGAATTAGAAAAGAACGAAAATTTTAAGGAGTTGAAGTAGGATAAACACATAGGGAGCAGCTATTCATGTTTGTCAATATTTTTTGGTTTATTTCTTTATTTAATAACATTACGGCTTATGGAGTTTTTGACAAAACCATCTCTATAAGAAAGAGCTTTACATATATTTTATTTATTTAATATATTTTGAAAAGCATTTTATTTATTTAACGTATTTAAAAAGTATAAAAATCTAAATTTTAATTATTAAATAAGAACTTTAACTTTTTTCCCATCTTGTTTTTATTAACCATTTTTTATTAATTAGATATGAGACGTACAATAAGCCCCTTGGATTAAGTAAATGTTTTAATTTTATTCTACATCGAGCTCTCTAAGTTTCATTTTTATACCCTTGTAGAGGGTATTATAATTTTAGTCAGATGTTTGCAACGCAGTGAAGGAGACGTTTCCGACCACATAAAGTATATATATTCTTGATCAGCACCAATAGCCGAGTCTATCTAGCCATGTCCGTCTGTCCGTCTGTCCGTCTGTCCGTTTCTATGCGAACTAGTCTCTCAGTTTTAAAGCTATCGCGATGAAACTTTCCCGAAGGTCTTCTTTCTATTGCAGGTAGTACATATGTCGTAGCGAGCCGGATCGGACCACTATATCTTAAGGCTCCCAAACAAATATAAGAAAATTCATTGTAACTTTGTAGGAAGTAGGCGTTTTGAGTCAAAATCTGCCAAGTGGGCCACCCCTGTTCCGAAGGTCCGATTTTCATCGAACTTTTTTACTTTTCCGGTTCACAACGAAAATATAAGAACTTCATTTGAACGGTTTTGCGAAATTTTGAGTTTTACCGGAGTTATAGGGGTCAAAACATGGCATTTTTGTCACTTTTTCGAAAAAGTTGCTCTCAGTCATTTTTTCATAACTTCCGAACGGTTAGAGATATATGTTAATGATGTTTTCACTAATCGCTCAAGAATTATTATGGCTTTCCATAAAAAATGTAAAAAAAAAATTAAAAATTTTTTTCTTAAAAATAAGTCAACATTTTTTTTTAGTTTTTATTTTTTTCAGTGTTCTTCACCAGCTATAGAGTTTAAAACCATTTGAAAATGAAGTTTGATTCATTACGAAAAAGATCAAAAAAAAAAAAGAGTGGCCCGGCCAAAGGTTTTTCGCAATATCGATTTGAAGAAGGGCGCACAGCGGTTTCCCATACAAAAACGGCTTGCTCGTGAAAATTGGCTGGTCAACACATGCCGTAGCGAGCGTAGCGTCAGCTGTCAATGGGGGACTTTTTGCCGTTTTGTATGGGAAACCGCTGTGCGCCCTTCTTCAAATCGATATTGCGAAAAACCTTTGGCCGGGCCACTCTTTTTTTTTTTTGATCTTTTTCGTAATGAATCAAACTTCATTTTCAAATGGTTTTAAATTCTATAGCTGGTGAAGAACACTGAAAAAAATAAAAACTAAAAAAAATGTTGATTTATTTTTAAGAAAAAAATTTTTAATTTTTTTTACATTTTTTTATGGAAAGCCATAATAATTCTTGAGCGATTAGTGAAAACATCATAAAGATATCTCTAACCGTTCCGAAGTTATGAATTAATGACTGATTGCAACTTTTTCGAAAAAGTGACAAAAATGCCATGTTTTGACCCCTATAACTCCGGTAAAACTCAAAATTTCGCAAAACCGTTCAAATGAAGTTCTTATATTTTCGTTGTAAACCGGAAAAGTAAAAAAGTTCGATGAAAATCGGACCTTCGGAACAGGGGTGGCCCACTTGGCAGATTTTGACTCTTTGATTCTTGACTACTTAAAAACAAAATTGAAATAAATCGAAACGCTGAATCTGGAATCCCTGGAACTGCACCGAGTGAGTATTCTTTTATCTACAAGGGTATATAAGCTTCGGCTGGCCGAAGGTAGCTTCCTTTCTTGTTATAATGTGGATTAATTTTAAGTTCCCGGATAAAATAGTCCACTATTGTGTGGAAAGTAAGTGTTCATCCCCAGGACCAGTGAAATACTTACGGCTATGCATGTTGCCAAGTCTAGACCACCAACAAGACGACCATCGTTATCCGGACACCAGAGCAGTGCATCGTCGATAAATGGCATCGCTGATAGGGCAAAGCCTGCACTGCAAATACTGTTAACTGCCAGCGTGTAGCCGTTTCCTGAATACCCCTGCCAGTCGCGAAAGTTCTGATCAATCTTGATGCCACCCAGGTCCAGGGTTCTCCTCGCGTCTCAAACCAGGAAAGTGTTTACTTGTTTCGCCGCCGAAACACTCCTCTCTTCCAATTGGTTATTTGTATACCTATCACACTTGGTATAAAATTTGGACTTCTGTTCGTTTCACAAGTTTTTCATAAGATTTGCGTGGAAATTTTGTTGTAGGCACTTTGTATGAGACGGTTTTGGTTTGGTTCTTTAAAATTTGTATAGAGTCGGCTTTAGTCTTGTTTGCTTCTGGACGTAAGATCGCACAAAAAGTAAAGACAAAAAACGTTCCTTGTCGATGTGTATAAGTTGGTCGTCTTTCAACGCACTTAAAATTGTAAAGATTTAAAACTCCCCTCGTGTTGTATATGTAAAATTTTAAATTTAATATTATTTTGGCTTTGTTTTGGAGTCTGAAAGAGAAGAAATGTGTGATTGGTTAAATAAGGGTAGTGATATGTTTTCGAATCAATTAATTTATAAATATAATTATATAAAAAACTATGTTAAATTTAAATTTAACTAATAGAATAAATAAATACAATTATACTACAATATTTTAGATTAGTTTACTAATTATATATAATTATATATTTTCTTGTAACATCCCACCTTTCCACCTATCATCCTATCTAAAATCGAGGCTTTTTAATTGCTTTGGCAACGTGAATACTTTCTTGGGGAAATTCCAGACCATCTGAATTTGCATCTGCATCCCAACAATGCCGCATCATTGGGCATCCATTAAAATATTTACATTTATACATAGCCGATCCGCGGGCAAAATATATAGAGGCGTTCGCCAGAGCAAAAGGCAAGAAGAGGATGAAAATATAGAAAGTCGTCTCGTTGCATTGTTTCAATTTTTGCCTTGTGGCTTCCGGTTATAACTAATTTTCCTCTGAATCAAAGTTTTTCTCCCCGCTCGCCTTTTGCCTTTATTTCGTTATTTTTCTTTTTTGTTTTTTTGTTTGTGTTTAAAGTTCAATAACATTAGAAATTGCGAATTACAACATAAAAGCAAGAGCGGAAAGAAAACTCGGCGATCGGGGCAAGCTGCATCCACAGAGGGAGAAAGACGTGCAGCACAAATTTTGTGGCAAACTAAAACTGAAAACTGCGCGCAAAAATACAAAAAAAAGAAAGACAAAAACGAAAATAGAAGCAAAGCTGGAAAAATGCTTTTTACATAACATGTTACTGAACTGCAGGCACACCGCAACACCAACAAAATGCAGCAGCAACAAGTTTTGCACTCGCCAAATTCATTACAAGTGAAAGTCCAAAAACAACAGCAACATCAGCTGCATTTGCAACACCAATAGCAACAACATCTGCAACAATAACAAAAACAACATGCATTCACAGCGCAAAAAGTTCGTTAACATTGAACTACGAAGCAAACGAGGCGGAATACGAAGAGAAAAATGCGCATAGAAAAAATAAAACTGCAGCAAACTTGAAAGCACTCACAGGCAACAACAACAACTAAAGCAGCTTTAAGTGCAAGCGTTAGGTAAAAAAAAATATTATAAAATAGCAGATTAAGGAAAACAACATCTTTAACTTATATATCAGAGGGTATATAAGAAAAACAAAACTGATAAACTTAATTTAATAATTCCATGTAAGGAACAACTCACTGTAAAAGCCTAACTCTTCTAATAAGTCACCTGATTTTATTAAAATTATAATCGACCCTACTAACTACTAACTAAATAATATTAACCTATTATTATGCTTCTCAAAATGCAATATTAAATTCAAAAAACAAATTTTTTTTAAGTTTCATACTTTTAGTTTTATAAAAAAACATCAGATTTTCTCAGCATTAAATTTCAATTAAACTTCATAAAACAAAAATTTCACTCCATTTTGATTTTCTTAAAATATTTATATTAATGTTACAATGCTACTTTGAAAAGAATTTATTTACTAGTCACACAGCTAGAAAAAAGTATTCAAGTTAAAGTCCTATAATGGTAATTTTTAATGAAAGAATATAGATTGTCAGTTAAAATTTCCGTTAGTGAAGTCTAAGAAAGACATATCTAATGATTATAAACTTACAAAAATTTAACAATAAGTCAAACAACGATACAAAATTATAACAGTGATATAGAAAAGGGTAGCGGGATCATTATTAGAAGAAGAAACATCACGAAAAACCAAAAAAAACTGCGGCAATATAAGCAATAGAAACGGCAACAAAAGCAGCAACATCAATTGCCGCAGTCCAACAGCAGCGACATGCAGCACAGACATTACAACATTGCGCTGCCTGGCACCCGCGTCATCATCATTTCTCTTTTTCTCTCCCTATCGCTACTTTTCTTTCGGCCTCTTCGGGTTTTCCACAGCTAAGCTGTTGCCTTTGCTTTTGCTGTTGCTATTGCTATTATGATGCGCATGCGCGGCGGAAAACTCGTTTTTCATTATTCAATACAAGCGATTCAAGCCGCTGCAACTATTTCACTTTCCAGCCAAACTGCAAGTTCAGGCGAAAAAAGCGAAAGAAAACTCGAAAGAGCTTGGCAACAAAAACAAAATCGAGAAGCACGAAAGGAAAAGCCAATGGAAAACCTCCAGCCGCAGCTTCAACTTCAGCTGGCGCCAAGTTTGCCATTTGCCCGTTTACTGTTCGCCGTTCCCCGCGGGCTGAATTATAATTAGACATTTGGCCCGAGCTGCTCAACATTTATGCAAAATATTGGTTGGCTTGCCTGGCGAATAATCACACAGAGCCACAGTGCGTATACGCAATCTCTGATTAGCGCGGCAATCGGCAGCCCAGATTGCATAGAAAAGCGGCTGGCATGTGTACTTAGCCGAGAATCTACACTGTGCAGCCCGCAGTCACTTCCTGGTTTCCCCGAGTGCGAGTGGCTGGCAATGAGAATTCCCGATTTGGGTGCGGCCTATCGACGATCACCGATCACCGATCTCCGATTGACCGGTGAGCGGTAAGCGGTATGCGGTAAGCGGTACTCGGCACTCTGTATCCAGAACTCGTACTCCCAGTCATCGGGTGATCGAGAGCTCTCCACCTCTCCGGGGTTCTTTTCGCGAAAGTTGAAAGCTTTCCAGTTTTCCCTGCGAGTGGTGACCTTAACGCCTCTGAGTAGGCACACTTGACAATGCTTATTGGAATTTGGATTCGGAAGTCAAGACATTGAATTTATAATACCGTAAACTACTTTAATTTAATTTAAAATACATAAAAGCAATCTAGTACACATAATTGTAATTTCTAAAATTTAATATGTTTAGTTAGACATTTACAAACGAATTTTAAAAAATCACTTTAATTCATCTTTTATCTGTACTTTTTTATAGAATCGAAATGTTTAAAATTACTTAATTATTAAGCATGTAACAAATATGAAATGTACATTAATAACAATTTTTAATTGTGTATTAATAAATGGTCGTGAAAATAAAACAACGAAAACAAAAAGTTTTCTTAGGTCCCATTATTAAAATATACAATCTTTTAACTCAGATCATAACAGTCTATGAATTTATTTAATTTTTTCTCTTTTATTGCAAGTAAAAATAAGTAGTTTTCAAAATGAATATTTAAAAGTGGTTTCTATTTTAATTTTTTAACTATTTTAAAATGTATTCTAATGTAAGATGTTAGAAAAACATTAAATAGTTGTGGAATAAGATAAGTCTCCAGACCACATTCAATACTCACCTTTCGCTTTTATTTTTGTTGTCGTTGTTTGTTGACGATCCTCAACGTTGCTGAATGTCGTTAACTTATTTACTTATTTTTTGTAAATGGTTTCGTTGGTGTAAATATATAAATTTTGATTGTTTTTGCTGTTTGTATAACTTTTGTATATTCAACTACGTATTAATTTGTAAGTTAATATTTTAATTATTAACCGTAAGGCAGTGTAAAGTTGTCAAAAAGTTGTTGTTTTCTTTCTTGTGTCGATTCACTTGTTGCACATTTACCGATGCGCCACTTGATGTTATTGTATTTGCTTTGCCGCGCACTCGGGCGCATTTTATTTAGTTTACTTTTTAATATATTGATATTTTTCGCTTGAATTTGTCACAGATTAACGGAGGAGTTCGGGGAAGCTGTCTCTGAATTAGCCGACGATTTTATCTTACAGCGAATGCGATAGATGTATAGAGTTTTATTGCCATTAGCATCGATATCGATGGCATTGACCAAATTTGCATCAGTTCCCAGTTTGCTGCTTTTGGCACGCATTTATGGTGTTTGAAGGTGCGCTGGGGCATTTGTGGGCGGGGGGCGGTGGGCGGGGCCCCGAAGACAAGTGGATCCCGAGGAAGTGAAGTGGCTCCCAATCCCAATGTCGCCCTATGTCGGCTTGCTGTGCGGCCTCTGCAAGTAGAACCAAAGAAGAAACCACACGGCGAGAAGCCAATCAATAAATATGAAATAAACACAAATTCGCTGCATAAGTTTGAATTGTTTAAAAAAAAAACGCGCGAGACATTGACAAACCGGTTGACGACAGTCCGAGGCAGAGGCCAAGATAACTCAGCTGCGGGTGTTCCCATTAGCTTATTCAATTTTTTTGGCGGGAGATTATTAAATTTGAATCTTGTTTTATTTACATTTGCTTAAAAATATCTTTTGTTTATTTTATTATTGTACTGATTAAGTTTCTACGCATAACTGTGGGTGCAAAATATTTATAATATTATAAATACAAAAAAAAAAAAAAAAAATTAAATAAATAAAACTAAAAATATGTATAAAAAATATGGATTATTTTCTTTTATATCTTTTCTGTGCTTTTCTATTGAAGGAAATATTACCATTGGCCATTATGTGTGTTGCCCATACTTAAAACATTATGTTCCCCATTACATTTTAATTTTTTAAAATCATTATTCTTGGCTTACAAAATCCTCCAAAATTATCCAAGTAATAATTTTTCTCATTATGAGTGATCTTTTCTAGAACACCCCACCCTCCAACCGCCCATTTCTGCATAGAATTCGATCAACACTTTGAAGAGAAGACAAAAAGAAACACCATAAAGCTCTTGACGCCTGCAAATTATGGAGGAGCTTTTGCTATATAGACTATATAGTAAAGCTATGCAAAATGCGTTAGCTGCAGAGAATGGCAGACAGAGAGGGGAGTATATACAGATAGAGACAGGTGGCAAGGAAGAGAAGCAGATACGTAGAGAAACTGAGGAGCGCGAAGTGCGCCGGCTTCTTTGACTTTGTCTATTTCTATTTACTGCGTAAATATGTGTGTGTTGTTGTTGCTATTGCGCTTAGCTTTTTGCATTGTGGCTGTGTTAGTGTGCGTTTAGTTTCTAAGCGATTCCGAATGTGTGTGTGAGTGGTGACCTTCTCACACTGTCATGGCTACGTATAAAATAATATAAAAATAAAAGCTTTTGGCTTTATAATTTGTATGCAGCTCTCAATGCGTGTCGTCGTGTGCCTTTGTGTGTGTGCGTGAAGAACATAAGCGAGTCGTGCTTAGAAAAGCAACAACAAGAAAAAACTATAGACAATGGCAACAACAACCACACGGCTTTTCATTGAACAAAATATTATTAACGTTCCGCTCAAGATCGCTGTTTTTGCCAGCTTTTTATTGTTGTAGCTTGCGGATAGTTGAAAAAAACAGTCTCACAAAAGTTAGCCACATTTGACGTATTTTTATTATTTTCTGTTTTTTTGCCACTCGACTCGAGATACTTCCGATTTGGCGAAAAAAGCTTGCGTTTTTCTATGCTTTGGTGACAAGCTTGAAATTGAAAAAACATTAATTTAGTTAGCTTCGTGCTTAATTAGTTTATTTCTGGATAACAATTTCAAGGTCAACGTAAATATTATGCATTTTAGTTTTAAGCTTTTAAAAATATTTTGGCAAATCTTCTTTCTATTTATTAGAATTTTTTACTTTCTTTATACAATTAAGAATCCTTTTTGCACACTATTATATTTTCCCTGATCAATAAATTTAATAGATAATATTAGTCATTTATTTATTAGTCACAATTTGTGAAACAATTTAGCAAGTGGGCAAATTTTAACCTTAGTTTTGTGCTTTACTTTTTGTTTTCGTTTTCTGTTGTAACCACAAATGCTATTGTTTTTGCTGTTTTTTTTTCTTGTGACCTTGTTTCCTGCTTCTTCTTCTTTTGCTGCCGTTTTTTTTTTAGTTTTTGTTGCTATTCCGATTCAAGTTTAAGGTCGTCGCTTTGGGGGTCTAGACGGTAGACGATAGACCGTAGTCTGTAGTCTGTAGACAGTCGCTAATGCCGCACTAATGGCCAAGCTGTAGGGTGCTTGTTGTTGCTTTTACAGGTAGCACCCCCCTTTGGCCAAGGGCGTAACGAACGTTGTTGTAATCGAGTCTCCCTCTCTGTCTTACCAATGTATTTATGTACGGCTTTTTTTTAACCATAAATTCGGTTTAGTTGTACGGTCCACGTATGTGGAAAGAAAAACATTCAATTGGTTAATGCACCTCATTATGTGTGACTAATTTGCATTGGGGGAAACACTACACCTACTAAAAAGGGGAACAAAATTAACTAAATCGGTCAGGGAGACTTAGAAATAAGTTCACTCGACTTTAGTTCGAATCAATCACAAGAAAAATTGATTAAATTAAAAATATTTCAATACCTAAATTAGTAAGCAAAGCAAAGGGAATTTTCCACATTTAATTGTCACATGAAAACCCTTAGAATCACTTTTAAACCTCAAAAACGCCACCACATTGCGCATACGCCCTGGTGTCCCACTGAAACATTTAATTCATAAAGGTTTGTTAATTGATTGGGCATTGTTTTTTGGAGCGTATATGCCCTCAAAAAGCAATTACCAAATTATTATCATCATTATCGTTATGGACGAGAATTCATTGGCATCTGGCGCACGCGGCGTATGCGCTATATTTCTTTTAGCTGCCGTCGCTGACGGCTTCATTGTTACAGCAGAACTCAAAGCATAAGGTTAACCATGGGAAACCAGCGACCTTGGGTCACTATTATAAAACCTATACCCGAATTCTTGACGGCTAACAAACAACAAGAAGAAGCCAAATTTAACCAACAAAGAGGCAACAACACAAAATGAATTCTAATTAAATTAACAAAATAAGCATAAACAACAGCAGCAGAAAAAATGTTAAATGGAAAAATTATACTGCCACTGCCATAAAAAGTGCGATCAAGAAATAGCAGACACACGAGACACGGCCATTATGCATAATGGATAATGGAGATGGCGAAGGAAAAGTTGAGTCAGGTCCCCGAGAGCTGTCGTCTGATATATTTGTCCCACTCACTGATCCCATTGTTCTATGCTGGCCTCTACAAAACCGTAAATGCAGTGGAAAACCCACAAGAGATTTGTATACTAAAAAAAATAATAGTTCTACTGTAATGCGGGTAAAATGTTTTTTAAACATGTATCTAATAATAATTACACTATGCAGCATCAAAAATTAACCTCGATGAATGCTATATTTTTGGATTCGTTACGAATTCCCAAGTTAAACTGCGTTTTCCAAAGAGTTCCCCGACGCAAGGATTCTTAGCAAAAGGACCTCAAAGTTAAAAAAATGCTGAAATTGACCAACTTTGCTGAGCTCTCAGAGGCAAATGGATGCATGGCTTGGTTCGAAGTTAAAGTTTTTTAAAAGATACACCCTTTATCTTTCAAACCCCATACATAAAATAATTTTAGGATTTTTTTTAAGGCAGAAATAAATTCCAAAAAACATAGTCAAAAAACTGAAAAACATACAGCTGCGGTCAAAATAGTAGTAGTGTTGCCGCCTTGTGTTTTTAAAAGTTTGATGTTGTAATTTTTTCTTATCCAATTAGTCTAATAGTAAAATTATAATCAATACAATATTACCAGGAAAAGATCAATTACAACAACAAACTTTTAAATACACAGGGCGGCAACACTACTACCATCTTGACCGCAGCTGTATACTTTTATGTTTTTTGACTATGTTTTCCAGAATTTGTTTCTGCCTTAAAAAAAATCTTAAAAATTTTTTAAGTATGGGGTTTAAAAGATAAACGGTGTATCTTTTAAAAAACTTTAACATCGAATCAAACCATGCATCCATTTGCCTCTGAGAGCTCCGCAAAGTTGGCCAATTTCAGCATTTTTCGAACTTTGAGGTCCTTTTGCTAAGAATCCTTGCGTCGGGGAACTTTTTGGAAAACGCAGTTTAACTTGGGAATTCGTAACGAATCCAAAAATATATCATCCATCGTGGTAAATTTAAAAAGCACTAAAAATGCTGCACAGTGTTATATGACCAAAAAAAATCTGAATTTACGTATGAAAGAAAAACCTATTCGAGTATTTTAAGCACAGATATTATAAATTATGAATTTATCATTCAGAAAACAATATAAAATTCAAGAAAATTTGATTTAAAATTTTTTTTTATTTTTTATATGCTACATTGTTATTAACAACCCACTTTAATTACTTAATTGAACCAATTATGTTGTGTTTAATGGTCAATAGTTTTCTGTTCCTCTGCCAAATATTTATCCTACGCCCCAGAAAGTGCATTGAAATATTAAAATAGAAGAACAAGAAGTCGCGCACTACCAAGCAAAGCCAAAAAAAAAAAACAGAAACAAAAGCAAGGGGCATATCTTACTACGAAAATTAATGTGTGTCTGTATGTCTGTCTGTCTGTCTGTCTCAACGTGCCCCAGCAAAGTGCATGTGTGTGCGAGTGTGTTTGTGAATAAAATACGCAACCTTCAAAAAAATCTAACAAAGCAAACTTGTTCAATAGTCATATGCGTATCAGGAAGTCAACATTTCAAGGATTGACTCATTGAAAAAGTCGAATGCGACGGCAACAAAAACAAGTTAGTCGCTGTTGCACGCACACAGCTGCAATTGCTCTCTCACACACACTAGCCGAGAAGCAAAATAAAGCGCGCCCGGCAAAATGCAATGCAAAATGCAGCAACAACAATTTATTTACAGTAAAGCACACACACATACACGGACACTGTGCAAATCTGTGAGATCACTTGCAATTGCATTTTGCTCTTTTT